CCCCATCCAAACCCTTTAATTACGATTGTAGAACTCTCTTTTTCTAAAAAAAAAAAAAATAATTTGATGTTCATATAAAACTCATTGTTTGTTGGGTTTACCAATACCCGGATTGAATTTCTGGAAGATTGTGATTCCGCTTCCTTGAAATTGGCCACAAATAAATTATTTTAGTATTAATAAATGCATGATTTATGTTGATTTATAGATTATGTTGTTGCTATTTTTTAACATTTAAATGGAAAAAAAATAAAAAGTGTTATTCATGGCTTTTTTTTAATCTTTGAATATTTTATCATTGAATATGTAATTTCTGCAAAAAGTAAAATGTAAATGGCAATTTATTTGATGTTAGATTCCTTTTAAAAACTAAATTATTTCCGTTTTAAAAAATGCATATAATGATTTAAAAAAAAAATCAGTTTTAATACAGAATTTTATTATTGGGGCCATTTTTACATACCTGTCATTTGGGGCCATTTTTACCGGGGCCATTTTTTCCGGGGCCATTTTTTCCTGGGGCATTTTTTCCGGGGTCATTCTTACCGTACACCTGTTAAGCAGTTTCCTTTTATTGTTAATGTAACATGCCTATTAGAAGGAAACTGCTTAACCAAAGGAGTTATATACCAAGCGACAGTTACGGTACCAGATATGACAACCAAACCCAAGAAACATATATTGAACTAATAACATATTTATATACAAATCATTAAATATATATACTATAGGCGTATACTTGCCATTAATTAATATTATTATACTTATATCCCAGACGTCATAGGCCAATAATCATAGCAGTCATAATATTATTATCTTACCCTATAAACAGCAAGTCGGATAGTTAAATATAAATATTAATGAAAAAAACTCCATTTCAGGATTCGAGGTAGACTACACATTTTGGAACTGCTGTTTTCAATGTTTAAGATTAAAACAAATATAACTATTACAACGCCATATTTTGACTCTACGTTCACACTCAGAGCTATGCCAGGGGTGACTCAAACATGGAAATTAGCCTCACTCCCGACTTGAATACGTTAGGAAGTCCACAGTAGGTGGTTTGAATCAAAGTATTACCGGGCATTTAAGCACTATTACTGAAAATGATTTTATCAAGAGTAGTTGGTGGAAGATTAAAATTTACAACATAATTGTTTATAGACACAGCATTCACAGGTTTAAACTGAGAAGTTGTAGGAAATTTGACTGCAAAGTAAATCAAAAACAAATAAATCTTCGCGTAACGCATTCGCGATACAAACACCGTAGGCAAATATCGCGATACACCGTAAAGCTATAATTGTGATACAGTACCGTAGGCCGATATCGGATACAGTTTTCTTATTACATCAAAGCTCTGTGACTGGTGTGACGGAGTCGAGTTGACGACCTGAGAGTTCCGATGCGGAACCATAACAACACTGTCTTCATATATGATGAGAGCTACTCTCATGGGCGAAACCTAATGATTGTAAAATGTAAGCTGTATGCGTCAATTATTGGATGTAATGTAATGCATTGTTGAAAAATAGCCACAGAGTTCAGGACATCTAGGGTTACAAGCAATTTAGTAATATCATATATCCTAACAAATGTCTGTAAACGTCAACAAAATGTGTGCAGATATAATAAAAAATCAATTCTACAAAGACAACTAGGCCCATGTCAACTATAAACTATAAATAAAAAAAATATATATTATTAAAAATAATGAAGAACATAATTATTAATGTAGTGCACACTTGGTAAGTACGGTTGACAGAAATGGCCATGGCCAGTCTGTTGAAGGTTGAAGTTAGCAAACTTGAAGAAATGTGAGAACAATATGAAATAAAATACGGCAAATATGGTCCAAGACAATATATAGTTATCTCAGTAAAAAACCTAGTTTTAGGTAGTGGTGGCGCCAGGGGATGGAAGCAGTTCCGTCGGACAGGCCTAGACCCCCACCACCACAGTATTGCAACGCCACAAGGTCGTTGGATCAAAAATAATAGTAAGTTATTTTGATTGGCAATCCCTAGCATTGTGGTCTTAAGGCACACTTTGGGCTAAAGCCAAAATTAAAGAATCCCCTTGTTAACCCTTAACAAGGATTTTATATTTCGGGACCCTGATCGAGGTAGGACTCACTGCTGTAGTTGTTTCATCATCAATTAAATGAAAAAATAAATGAAAAATACTACAAGAAAGTACTGTACATTACATATTCCAAGTACCTTATTAAAATGCACGTCATCGTGTTAGGATTCAATATTTCGACATAAATTATGTCATCAGACATTATATTATATTATATTATATTATATTATATATATATATATATATATATATATATACTGTTAAATTTTATATAAATAATCATCAAAGAAAGGCAAATACAGTGTTCGAATAAAGGACATGATGATACAGGCCTATATGGTATATATACGCATAGGCCTATATATTATTATATATGCCTACTTTTACAAAAGTATACATACATGCAACGATTTATAATTATTGTGTATGAAGTAAATTGCGCATTTAGGCAGGCCCTACATAAGCCTACGTAACCTATGTCTATGTAATTTAATTATTCCATATCAAGTTATCAATATACGAGGATCATGCGATGTAAATAGCACAAGAAAGTTTAGCATGGCGAGTAAAATAGTAATTAAAGAAGCGTTA